TTGATTTCTGCATGAGAGCCATTCTAATGGGGATGAGGTGAAACCTCACTGTGGTTTTGATATGCATTTCCCTGATGGCTAGTGATCCTGAGCATTTTTTCATGTGTCTTTTGACCATTTGTATTTCCACTCTTGAAAAATGTTTGTTCAGGTCTTTTGCCCATTTCTTAACTTTCTGGTTGTTTTGTAGTTGTTGAGTTTCTTGAGCTATTTAGAGATTCTGGAAATTAATCCTTTATCAGTTGCACAGTTTGCAAATAATTTCTCCCATGATATTTGCATCTATGTTCATCAGGGAAATTGGGCTATAATTCCCTTTTTCTCTTGTTTCTTTTTCTGGTTTAGAAATTAAGGATGGCTGGCGCCGTGGCTCACTAGGCTAATCCTCCGCCTTGCAGTGCCGGCACACCGGGTTCTAGTCCCGATCAGGGCACCAGATTCTGTCCCGGTTGCCCCTCTTCCAGGCCAGCTCTCTGCTGTGGCCAGGGAGTGCAGTGGAGGATGGCCCAAGTGCTTGTGCCCTGCACCCCATGGGAGACCAGGATAAGTACCTGGCTCCTGCCATTGGATCAGCGTGGTGCGCCAGCTGCAGCGCGCCGGCCGCGGCGGCCATTGGAGGGTGAACCAATGGCAAAGGAAGACCTTTCTCTGTCTCTCTCTCTCTCACTGTCCACTCTGCCTGTCAAAAAGAAAAAAAAGAAAGAAAGAAAGAAATTAAGGTAATGCTGGCTTTGTGGAAGGAACTTGGGAAGATACCCTCCCTTTCAATTGTTTTGAATAGCTTGAGAAGAATTTGAATTAATTCTCTAAATGTCGGATAGAATTCAGCAGTGAAGTCATCGGGACCTGGGCTTTTTTTGTTGGGAAGGTCTTTATTACTGATTCAATTTCCATCTTGGTTATTGGTTTGCTTAGGTGTTCTGTGTCTTCATGACTCAATTTTGGTAGGTTGTATGTGTCCAGGAATCTATTTCTTCTAGGTTTCCCAGTGTGTTGGCATACAGCTCTTTGTAGTAATTCTTGATGATTCTTTTTATTTCTGTAGTATCTGTTGTTACATTTCCTTTCTCATCTCTGATTTTATTGATTTGGGTATTCTCCCTCTTTTTTCTGTTAGGCCACTGGTGTGTCAATTTTTTTTTATTTTTTCAAAAAACAGCTCTTCATTGATCTGTTGTATTTTTTGTTTCAATTTTTTTATTTCTTCTCTAATTTTAATTTCTTTCCTCTTACTATTTTCATGTTAGTTTGTTTTTTCTTTTTTACATCCTGGAGATACATTGACAGTTCATTTATTTGTTCACTTTCCAGTTTCTTGATTGTAGACATCAATTGCTATCAATTTCCCTCTTAACACTCCTTTTGCTGTATCCCATAAGTTTGGATATATTGTATTGTTTTCATTCATTTCTAGAATTTTTTGATTTCTCTTTTGATTTCTTCTATGACCCACTGTTCATTCAGGAGCATGTTGTTCAGTCTCCATGTGTTTGTACATGTTTTAGAGATTCTTGAATTGTTGATTTCAAGCTTCAATCCATTGTGATCAGAGAAGATGCATAATATGATTTTTTATTTTTTTGAATTTGCTGAGACTTGCTTTGTGGCCTAGTATATGGTCTATTCTGGAGAAAGTTCCATGCACTGGTGAGAAGAATGTGTATTCTGTTACTGTGGGGTGAAAAGTTCTGTAGATATCAGTAAGGTCCATTTGGTCCATAGTGTCAATTAGCTCTGTTGTTTCTTTGCTGATTTTTTGTCTGGTTGATCTATCCATTGCTGAAACTAGAGTATTGAAGTCCCTTGTTACTATTGTATTGGAGTCTATGTCTCCCTTTAGATCTGTTAACATTTATTTTAAATAGCCAGGCACCCTGTAATTGGGTGCCTATACATTTATTATAGGCACATCTTCCTGTTGAATTGATCCCTTAATCATTACATAGTTCCCTTCTTTGTCTCTTTTAACAGTTTTTGTGTTAAAGTCTATTTTGTCTGATATTAGGATAGCCACATACCTGCTCATTTTTGCTTTCCATTAGCATGGAATATCTTTTTCCATCCTTTCACTTTCAGTCTACATGTATCTTTGTTGCTGAGATATGTTTCTTGAAGGCACCAAATATATGGGTCTAGTTTTTTTTAATATATTTGGCCAGTCTGTATCTTTTAACTGAAGAGTTGAGGCCATTTACATTCAAGGTGACTATTGATAAGTAACAACTTGACCCTGCCATTTTTCCATGAGTATTCCCATTATTTACTTTGGATTTCTTTTTACTTTTACTGGGGGATTTTCTGTCTTCACATTCTTTCATGATGATGGCTTTCTTTCTGTGTTTCTGTGTGTAACACTTCCTTTAGCATCTTTTTTAAGCCTGGATATGTGGTGAAAAATTCTTTCAATCTCTGTTATGGAAGGTCTTTATTTCACCTTCATTCATGAATGAGATCTTTGCAGGGTACAGTATTCTGGGTTGACAGGTTTTTTTTTTCTCCTAAGACTTGCACTATATCTTGTCATTATCTTCTAGCCTTTAGGGTTTCTGATGAGAAGTCAGCTGTGAGTCTAGTTGGAGATCCTCTAAAAGTAACCTGGTGTTTCTCTCATGCATGTTTTAGAATCTTTTCTTTATGCTTTACTATGGCAAGTTTGACTACAGTGTGTCATGAAGATCTCTTCTTTTCATGTCTGTTAGGAGTTCTATGTGCTTCCTGTACTTAGACATTCCTTTCTTTCTTTAAATTAGGGAAATTTTCTATAATTACTTTACTAAATAGGCCTTCTAGACCATTCTGTCTTTCCACACCTTCAGGAACTCCTAAGACCTGTATGTTGGGTCATTCAATAGTGTCCCATAGATCTCCAAAACTTAAGTTTTCTAATCTCTTCTTCCCCTTCCCCTTCCCCTTCCTCTTCTTCTTCTTTTGGTCTGACTAAATATTTCCAGAGATTTGTCTTCTACCCCAGATATTCTTTCTTCTGCCTTACCAAGTCTGTGGTTAAGCCTTTCCACTGCATTTTTTCTTTGATCTATTAAATTCTTCATTTCTAATATTTCATTTTTATTTCATGGGAAATTTTTTCATTCATATCATGTATGGTTTTCTTAAGTTCATGGATTTGCTTCTGATTGATTTTGAGTAATCCTATGGAGTAATCCTTTGATTAATTTTTGAATTCCATTTCTGGCATTTCCTCAACTCTTCATCTTGACATTCTAATATTGAAATTTTGTTGTGTTCCTTTGGGGGTGGAGGGTCATGGTGTCTTCCTTATTCTTGTATCTTAAATTTCTGCATTTATTTTTAGGCATTTGTAGAATTAATTATTGGGTTTTTTTCCCTCTGATGGCTTTTATCTTTGTGCTATGCCTCTGTGGTTTAGTGGAATGTCTGCACTGTCAGTGAATACCAAGAGATCTGTTGTGGGTGTGGCCAGGGAGCTCTGGTCAGTGCTCCAGTGTGGGGCAAGTATCCAGATAGTACCCAAGTTGAGTGTGGTAACTCTCCTCTGGTTAACAGGATGGAGAGGAATGGTCACCTCTGTTGGTGTGACCACTCCCTTACCTCCTCTCTTCAAAGCTGAGGAATGCTCTGGTGTTAGACCCCAGTTTGTACAGCACTCTTCTGCATTGCTCTATAAACCGCACAATGATCTGCACAGTCCTCCCTGTGAGCATGGTTCCCTCTGCTGTGAGTTGCTCTATGCAACCTAGGAGCTCTAAGAGTGTACAGCAGCACTCCGTGATTTTCCAGAATCCAGCTACATTCTGCCTCCTCTCACACAGTCTCAGTGTTTTCTCAGTCTCAACACTATGGTCAAGAAGTGCAAGAGGGACCACTCCACCCTGGTAGCCCATGCCTTCTGCAGGGAGACTGAGATGTTCCCAGAGCCACTGCCTATGTGTGTTCCACCCCACTGGATTGAGCCCAATCCTCCCAGCCAGACTCAAAGTCAGTGAGGATCACGGGTTTTTCTCTCCAGTAAATCCCTGGATCACAGGCACATTCAATATGCACAGGCCACAACCTCACTTGCTTCACAATTGTGCTAGGCACATAGAAGAATCCCCACAGGCAGCACTTCCCTTCCATAGGGTTGGCTCCTCCTCCCCCCTTCCTTCCCCTCCTCCTTCCTCCACCTGTTGCTCTTGAGTTGTGGTTGTCTCTGCTCCCTAGGTGGAGAGCATCCCGGATAGTTCTGGGTGTGTGCACAAGAGCTGGAACAGCTGTTTCCTGCTTATATCCAAAAATGGCACCAGCCCTCCCACAGCTGGCCACAGGTTGTTGTAGGGAGGAGAGACGTCTGGCTTTTCCCCTCTCTCTTGGTGAGCAGTCACCCCGCTGCCCTGAGGAGTCTGGGCTGGACTCAAAAACGTTGCAGTCCACTGTATCAATAGTGGTTCAGGTGGTGCTGTCTGTCTGACCTCACCTGGTTTGCTGGGGTGGGAGCTTTTTTCCAGATCCAAGCTGCTGGGTCTTTCGTTGTGTCTTTGCTCATTCCTGTGTGTCTGCACCTTCCACATAGGTCTGGGCTGTTTCCACTGCTTTCACAGGACCTCCCACTGCAGTTTCCCCTGCAACTTTACCCTGAGAGTTTACTTTCTTCGCTTTTTTAAATATTATTTTTGCTTAGCCTAAATCAGACCACCCTGTCACTATTTCACTATCTTGGAACCCCCCAAGTATAAAGTTTTTATATATTTTTTTCTCTTGTGTTTCTTATTCCATATTTATGATCAATGTTAAGCTAATATCATTTCAAACTAGCTTGTTATAACCAAAAAATTTCTTGAAAATCCCATGATAACCACAAGCAAAAATCTATAATAGACACACCAAAAATAATAAGAATCAAAACATACTATTAGATAAGGTCAATCAATCACAAAGGAAAACTGTTAGAGATCAGAAAAGAAGAAAAAAAAAGGAAGAGGGCTCCCCCTCAGCACCTGCGGGTGCTTCCCTGGTTCCCACAGCTCCGTGAGTAAGCGGGCATGGCCAGAGCCCAGAGCACAGGTCTCAGGACAGCGGCTTTGACCGCCCTGGCCCAACCCCGTGCATCGGCCCAAACACGGGAGCCTTGTCATCACAGATCAATCATGAGCCCATGGAATGCGAGTGGCTTAATGTTCATTCATTCATTCGCCAGAAGCTCCCGGGCTCTTACAGGGAGCCACCCCGCAGCTCTGACCCCAGCAAGTGGCTGGGCTCATGACAAAGTGGGGACAGAGCAGCCGCCCCTAGGGACAGGAGAAGGGGCTAATGGGGAAGGAGGGAAGAGTTGGCGCTCCCCGCCACACCCAGGGCAGCATCACCAGTTCGTGAAGGGTGAGTTGGGGTCGCATGCCCTGGGGAAATGGGTGCTACCCCATTGAGGGGTTTCTGGAGGTCTGGGTGAGGGTGGCCTTGACAACTCTGCCAGAAGTGGTTTCATTCTCTGAGTAATGAAATTGGCCAATGTGGAAAGGGCCCCACCTGGCCCTGCTGCCTGAGTCCTGGAGAGAACCAAGTGGAAAGAGGCAGTGATTCCCTCATTTCCTAAAGCCACACTCTCTGTGATCTCAGGGTGCCTGTGTCTAAGTGTCCCCATCTGTGAAATGGAGACTGATACTTACCAAACAGGGTTTTGAGAGCATTAAGTGAATCGGTATGTTTGCATTTCTGGAGTGGTGCCGGGTACAGAGTAGTACCTGTCAGGCTTCCCCAAGCAGAAGGTGGAGCTCAAGAAGGTCGCCATCCAGGAGATTAAGCAGCAGCTGAAGGAGCAACAGAAGCAGCTGTGAGAGGAGCGCCACCAGGAATACTTGAAGATGTTGGCAGAGAGAGAGGAGGCACGGGAGGAGGCTGATGAGCTGGACCAGCTGGTGACGGCAAAGACAGAGTCAGTGCAGTATGACCACCCCTACCACACAGTCACCGTGGCCACCATCAGTGACCTGGATATCTCCGGGATCAGGCTGCTCAGGATGTCACTGCCCAAGCAAGGGCCAGGGGATGAATCCAAGGAGGAGGCACCACCCATGGAGAAGTCAACCAGAGCCTTACCCAGGAAGTCCAAAGACTCCCTGCTGTCTCAGCAGATTTCCTCCCTCACAGTGACACTGCATACATACAGCCGCAAGAAGGTCAAGTGGAAACATCCCCAAGGTACCCAGGACTCCAAGAAGCCCCCAAGTGCCAGGCACACCAGCAATGGCCTGGGAAAAGCAGTGGAGGATGACCCAAATGCTTCTGCCCCTGTACTCACGTCAGGGATTTGGAAGAGGCTCCTGCATCCTAGCTTTGGATTGGCCCAGCTCCGGCCGTTGTGGCCATTTGGGAGTGAATCAGTGGGTGGAAGATTCTCTCTCTCTCTCTCTCTCTCTCTAACTCTGATTTTCAAATAAGTAAGTCTTTAAAAAAAGGAGTAGAACATTAAGCCTTTGACCATAATGTAAATTTAAAATGTTATCTCAAAAATTAAAAAAGAGAGAAAATGGCAGTAAGACCTCACTTATCAATAATTACCTCAGATATAATTGTATTAAATTCTTCAATTAAAAGACACATAGTATAACTGAATGTATTTTTAAAAATAAGACCTAACTATACGCTGTTTACAAGAAACTCTAAGGATACATCTAGACTTAAAGTGAACAGTAAGAATCCCCCCCCCCAAAAAAAGAGGTAGTAGTTATACTTAGATCAGATAAAATAGAGTAAAGCAGTAAAAAGAGACAAGGAATATCACTGTATAATGATACGGGGAAACAATTATTGTAAATATACATGCATTCAAATGTACCCAAATACATAATTGAACATTAATAAACCTACAGGGAGAGATAGACTCCATAAAATAATACCAAAGGAGTTTAACATTCCACTTTCAACAATGGACAGATCATCCAACAGAAACTAAAAAAGGAAAGATTTTATTTAACCTGCATTTTAGACCAAACAGACTTAAACAGACATTTACAGAACATTTTGTACAACAGTTTTAGAATACATATTCTTCTCAAATTCACATAGAACATTCTCCAGGATAGACCATATGTTAGATCACAAAAGAAACCTCAAAAAATTCAAAACAAATCAAAATTGTAACATGTATAATTATCTTCTCTTTCCACAATGGGATAAAACTAGAAATCAACAAGAGGTACTTTAGAAATTGTATAAACACATGAAAATATAAACACATGCTCTTTAATAACAAATGAGTCAATGAAGAAACCAGAAGAGAAATTTAAAAATTTTGTGAAACATGAAAATGTAAAAACAACATACTAAACCTATACTATATAGCAAAGACAGTAGTGAGAGACAAGTTTTCAGCAATAAGTATCTACATCCAAAAATGAGAAAGATTTCAAATAAATAAACTAATAATAGAACTCAAGGAATTAGAATTCAGAGAATATGGGGCTGGTGCTGTGGCATAGAGGGTAAAGCCACTGCCTACAGTGCCAGCATCCAATATGGGTGCTGGTTCGAGTCCTGGCTACTCCACTTCCAATTCAGCACTCTGCTATGGCCTGGGAAAGCAGTAGAAGATGACCCAAGTCCTTGGGCTCCTGCACCCGCATGGGAGGCACAAGAGAAGCTCCTGGCTCCTGACTTCAGATCTGCCCAGTTCCCGCTGTTGCAGTCATTTAGGGAGTGAACCAGTGGATGGAAGATTTTTCTCTTTATCTCTCTATAATTCTGCTTTTCACATATAAATAAATAAATCTTTTATAAAAAGATTATACGACAAAATCAACTGTGGTTAATTCCAGGGATGTAAGGTTAGTTCAAAACACAGAGACCAACAACAAAAATAACTCATTAATAAATGACAAAAGCCATCTGCTCTTTTCAATAGATGCAGAAAAAAAACAACATCCTTCCAATAGTTGTACTTATGAAATTTATATTTATTAAATGAAAGCTTTGTATAGAACTGCTAAGATCAATCCCATTCACAATAGCTACAAAAAAAATCAAATACCTTGGAATAAACTTAACCAAGGACGTTAAAGATCTCTACGATGAAAATTACAAAACCTTAAAGAAAGAAATAGAAGAGGATGCCAAAAAATGGAAAAATCTTCCATGCTCATGGATTGGAAGAATCAATATCATCATCAAAATGTCCATTCTCCCAAAAGCAATTTATAGATTCAATGCAATACCAATCAAGATACCGAAGACCTTCTTCTCAGATCTGGAAAAAATGGTGCTGAAATTTATATGGAGGCACAAGAGACCTCGTATAGCTAAAGCAATCTTGTACAACAAAAACAAAGCCGGAGGCATCACAATACCAGATTTCAGGACATACTACAGGGCAGTTGTAATCAAAACAGCATGGTACTGGTACAGAAACAGATGGATAGACCAATGGAACAGAATTGAAACACCAGAAATCAACCCAAACATCTACAGCCAACTTATATTTGATCAAGGATCTAAAACCAATCCCTGGAGCAAGGACAGTCTATTCAATAAATGGTGCTGGGAAAACTGGATTTCCACGTGCAGAAGCATGAAGCAAGACCCCTACCTTACACCTTACACAAAAATCCACTCAACATGGATTAAAGACCTAAATCTATGACCTGACACCATCAAGTTATTAGAGAACATTGGAGAAACCCTTCAAGATATTGGCACAGGCAAAGAATTTCTGGAAAAGACCCGGGAGGCACAGGCAGTCAAAGCCAAAATCAACTATTGGGATTGCATCAAATTGAGAAGTTTCTGTACTGCAAAAGAAACAGTCAGGAGAGTGAAGAGACAACTGACAGAATGGGAAAAAAATATTTGCAAACTATGCAACAGATAAAGGGTTAATAACCAGAATCTACAAAGAGATCAAGAAACTCCACAAAAACAAAACAAACAACCCACTTAACAGATGGGCCAAGGACCTCAATAGACATTTTGCAAAAGAGGAAATCCAAATGGCCAACAGACACATGAAAAAATGTTCAAGGTCACTAGCAATCAGGGAAATGCAAATCAAAACCACAATGAGGTTCCACCTCACCCCAGTTAGAATGGCTCACATACAGAAATCTACCAACAACAGATGCTGGCGAGGATGTGGGGAAAAAGGGACACTAACCCACTGTTGGTAGGAATGCAAACTGGTAAAGCCACTGTGGAAGTCAGTCTGGAGATTCCTCAGAAACCTGAAGATAACCCTACCATAAAACCCAGCCATCCCACTCCTTGGAATTTACCCAAAGGAATTTAAATTGGCAAACAAAAAAGCGGTCTGCACCCTAATGTTTATTGCAGCACAATTCACAATAGCCAAGACCTGGAACCAGCCTAAATGCCCATCAACGGTAGACTGCATAAAGAAATTATGGGATATGTACTCTTTAGAATACTATACCGCAGTAAGAAACAATGAAATCCAGTCATTTGCAACTAAATGGAGGAATCTGGAACACATCATGCTGAGTGAAATAAGCCAGTCCCAAAGGGACAAATACCATATGTTCTCCCTGATTGGTGACAACTGACTGAACACCAAAAAGGAAACCTGTTAAAGTGAAATGGACACTATGAGAAACAGTGACTTGATCAGCATAGCCCTGACTGTTAATGAACAACTTAATACATTATCCCTCTTAGTAGTTTTTTTTTTGTCTGTAATA